TGGAGATTGTCTGACAGCTGCAATAAATCTGCTGTTTTATTGTTACATCGTAAGTTTGTTATTGTATCTAGAGTAGCATAGAGTATTGTAATATTGGCTCCTTATTATATCCATAGCACCAACGTCCAACAGGGATCAGTATTAGATGTATTATAATTTGCTGATTGATGCAGAAATGATGCTGATAGTGGAGGGAGCATCGCAACCCTTGTGGTTTCATTGTGCCCCGCGCTGCGTCATTATTCGTTTGTCAAGCTCCTCTTCTTCTTGATTATGGATATGACTTAGCAACTGTTTACTTCCATTAGGCTCTAAAAATACCCGTCACGTGATTTCATGACGTCATCTAGTGCACTTGTCACCTCTTAATGGAATTATTTTCCTTTTTAATGGTATTTTTATGCTCACGTTATTTTTACCCCCTCTAGATTGGTAGCTCATACAGACCTTTATCGTACGGGAATTAGAGACTTTGAAGTTTGATCCCGAAAATATCAAAAGTAATGGTGTAAGTGGTGGTCAGGGGGAGAGAGTTGTCAGGCACCCACTTTACATGGTTCCTTTGTCGTCCGCAAGCAAAGTTTCTCGATCTGGCCACTCCTGGTATATTTGCGTTGGTGCGGTCTCCTTATTTCTTTCTAAAGGACTATACCAGTTGTTTGGTTTGTACGTCGCTGTACTAAGAGCCTTAACCGGAACTCAAACCCTGTCCCGAACATAACCTGAACCCCAATCAGAACCTTTATCACTTATACCAACAAAACTGAGCCACAAGATACTGCTTGGTCATCGGATTTCAAATCAATTGGTCTTCATGAAAAGTTGACTGCAAGACGATTGAATGATACGATATTTGTGGATCCTATCTTCCACCATAGTAATCAGTGATTATCGATCAATTAAATAGTAGACCTGCTAGATGACAATACACTTATACACAGATACTATCGATCAATTAATATGGTATTGATCTTTTCAAATAGCATTGATCTTTTCGGTAACACGACATCTGTTCGACAGCGACATCTGTTCAACAGCGACTCTTGTCCGACTCTTGTTGCCAGAAAAAAACGACATCTGTCCGAAATTGTGATCTGATTTCAATACGACACATTTCCAATTGAGGACATGATCTGAACTGTTACTTGCTACTTTGTATGCGTATACAATCGATCTTTTCAAACAGCTTTTCATCCAATCTGTCAATCGACCGATGAAGAGTGAAGAATTATATGAAACGTTCGTTTAGAGGAGTTAGCTGATTTTCTTACGATCAATCACTATGTCGAGAAGGCCTCTGGTAAGATAAAAGTGCCCACGTGCATAAACTATGAGCCATGTGACCTGCTCTAATGAGCTCCACTCCAGTTGCCCAATTTGTGGATTCTAACGTCGAATAAATGTCATAATTGAAAGCCCTACTTTTGTAAAGCAATTCTATAGAAAAATCGTGCCCAGTGCGGATATAAAAATAACTGCACTGAATCGGACTTTTTGACTAATTATTGCAAGACCGCTAACGGGACGGACTGGTTCTGAAATATTATTCTTATATCTAGGAACCATAAACAAGCATTCGATTATCATGGTCCGCTTAACCCACGTGCAGACAACATCATCACGAGGTCATGTGCCATGTCAGCTGCCAGGGTGGTAACGCTATCCAGCAACACAATCAACCAATAGAACTAAACTTGCGATTTTCTCGTAAACCATGATGGTTGAAACCACCATTTTGTTGATGTCTGATGTCGTACAACTCTATCCAAATTGATCGGGAATACGACCTGAAAATTTGGGCTTAACAGCCCTAATTTCCAGGTGAATAACCATACTTTACATTTTGATACATAAATATTATAATTATATTTCTAAATCGAAGAGGTCTATGTTTTTGTAACGTGTGTTTATGCCAAGAATTTGTGGTATATTTATCATTTACGTGTCGCTCGATGTTACGAACTTATTGACAGGATCTCTCGTTGACAAGGCCCGTATTAAGCCGCGTCTCTCTGCTTCACGAACAACACAGATAACATGCTGCGTGCGAGCAACAATTCAAATTGTCATTCAAATAGCTGGCATATTTCTTGACCTACAGTTTCGGAGAATTTCTTACGAGATAAATATCTCTTACTGATTAAAGCTCGTTTGACGAGCAGGATTTGGATATAGTTAAGCTTGTCTTCGTGCCAGGCTATATCTTTCTGAGTTGACCTTCTTAATGACTTTAACTTTTACAATAATTTCTCCTTGAAAGTGAGAACAGAGCTCTCCCGAATGTTACAAGTCGAGAACTTTAATGATTTGAATTTGTAGCCAGAGCTCTCCCGAATATTTCTCAGCTTTTGGAACGAACCAAATAAGTTCTCTTCTTTATAGTGGAGCGTACCCGGGGATTTCTCGTATTTATTGGAGTGTACTTGAGCAATCCAATTTTATTTTTGGGCGTACTCAGTTATTTTCCTTTCATTTTGGAGCGATATCATTGATTTCAGTCACACGTCTGTCTGTCGTGCAAGGGGTCCCAAGTTCGCGGATACCAAAACGAATTCATGGTTATTGGTTACCATGGTTACCGACTATCGAGCCCATTACCATAGTGAAAATGGTACAGCTAACAGCTGCTACTGAGAATATACACTAAGGTACTGCAGTGCAACTGCAGTAACATATGTGTGTTTTCAAATACAATTGTAAATACAGGTCTTTTCGCAACCCCTCTCTTTCCCCTACCATTACACTCCTTAGTTCGATAGATTATGCCTAAAAACAGCATGAAGTGGATTGTGGAGCATTAGTGCACCATTAAATTTTATTTTTAAATCGATTTAACACTACGATTCCAGCTTCGCAAACCTCGTACGACTTTTCCAGCTACCGTTATAACACCAGCAGAGACTTTTACTTAAGATTGAAATTCGTCGAGAACTATTAGATCAGATATATTTTTTTGAACATATCTGGATACCTTGCTAAGCCAGTCCCCACTGTCTGACCCTCTCCTTCACTAAATCTAGGTGGCCGATCCTCACGCTTTAACATACACTAGCAGGAACCCGTCTAACCCTCGAGTGGTGTCAAGACTCAAGAGACTAAATAAATTATTACCTATGCTGATTTGAAGGCCATTAAGACATTTGACCCAGTCAAAAAAGTTTCACTTTTATATCTCTTACGTTTTTTGCGGAAAATCGTGTTAAAGTTGATGCCGTGGTGTCAGTGAAATGGTACGGATATATATATCGTCTCGCTTTATATATAGTAAGATGTTGTCAAATACCTGTAACCGGGTAACTCTTGCGGAGTGTTGAAAGTATTGAGCGAGGGAAGATCGTGGGGATCGTGTGTAAAACTATTGAAATTAACTACAGCTTCCTGCTGTCACAAAGTATGATCCTACACAACATTGCAGGATTAGTTGATTATAAGATTTCACATTCTTATATAATGTTTTCACTTGTATGAGCGAGCCTTGCATTGTTATACTATATCTGGTATCTTAGTACGGTACTAAACTGTACGGTACTAAGGGCTCAGCTTCCTAATCCTGTATACCTGGCCAGCTGTAAGGTGTCGTAATACTGCTTTATATAAAATACAATGATATTCAGTGTACACTATGCAGGGGTGTTATAATCGCATTATAATAACTTAAAGAGTACGATCAAATACTTCTAAAATCTTACCCGTATTATTTACCTGCTAGATATCGAATACTCCTAAAATCTTACCCGTATAATTTGCCTGCTAGATATCGAATACTCCTAAAATCTTACCCGTATAATTTGCCTGCTAGATATCGAATACTCCTAAAATCTTAACCGTATAATTTGTTTGCTAGATATCGAATACTCCTAAAATCTTACTACAATTTTGTGTAATAATTTTATAAAGGCTCCTAAAAGTAAAGGTGCTCCAGAGCCTTTGATGTGGATATTTTAATATTCTCAGATTAGATAAAAGTAGTTTGTATAATTAGTAAATGCGTATACCATTGTTAAACATAAAACCTTTCATTTCAAAGGTTTTTTAAATTTGCCGAATTCAAATTATTCGTTGATACTGAATTTATAGTCAGACTTTATAATGATACCGTTTATTAAATTCCATTTCTTTGTTTACAACTTATTGTAATGCCGAAAACAGATTGCTGCCGCGAAGACATTCGTTTCGATTGAGACGGTTCAAAATTCTGTGTTTTACAACGTGCCGTATAGGGGTAGATTCTGGTGGGTAGGTGAAGAGTATTTTCTTGACACACGACAGATATGAACCAATCAGCTTCCACTATTGACCAATCAAACTCCAGAATCCCTGTCACGTGTCAAGAAAATATGTTTCAACCCCCACTAGAAAACACACCAGGGACAAAAGGATTTCGTGATTATTTTGCCCAAAAATCGCGATACCGCGATTTTTAACAGACTGTACATAAGACTATACATAAAAGTTGTCGCAAATAATGAGAAAAATCGCGATTCCGCACATGCCGCGATTTCCTTTTGTCCACTAGAAAACACACCCATATATCTAGCATACCCTGACTAAACTGTTCAGGGTCAATGTTGTGGCACTCTCAGACAATGGAGCGTGTAGTGGTGATAATAGCCACGTGACTAAACCAGCACTAAACCCTGACGTCATCAGATAGTGTGACGTCGTCACTGAGGTTTTTAAATGAAGTTACTTTCGCTTTTGAGTACTTTCGCTTTTGAGTACTTACTACTTTCGCTTTTGGATTCTTTTGCGGTTTGAATGAATTTGGCTTATTTGTGCTTTTTGTATGTTTTATATTATGTTTAAAAGTTTATATTATAAAAAAAGTCTAAAAATTTTTTAGAAAGCGTGACGTCATCCCAGCCAGAGAGGTCACGACCCCCGCTGACGTCAGCGAAAGTAGTGACGTCAGCGAAGCACGTGACTCGAAAGACTCACGTGACATGTCCCACCGAGTGAGCGGGTCTAGCTCCCGCAGCTACTCCTCATCCCGCATGAGCATGTCCAGCAGCAACTTCTCCCGTGCCTCCACCTCCTCTAGAAGCTACAGGTGAGAGATATTTCACAATATATAATGCTTTTGGACACGAAGGGTCAAGGGAAACACACAAAATAAGGCTTGAAATATTCGTAAAACTACATCATTAGACTTTAGAGCCTCGAATTATTTGCTATATAGTAGTGTTGAAAGTATTAAAACCTCACAAAAATTTAACATTATAGCTAGAAGGTAGTAAGAAGTTAGCAAGTAGTAGTAGTTATAGTAAGTACAGGGTTCTATCAGTGAAAACTCCCTTATAGTTAGGGAAAGAGTAATAAACCCTGTGAGTAAATTCGTAACAAAGGTTTCTTTGTTGTCCAATGTCCCAGGAACCACCAAAAATTATTACTTTTATCCCTCCTATAGAACAGCGAATAAATATCGACAGTTCACCTGAATGATAAATATCACAAGGGCCGGGTGCGGTCTCAACAAGAGAGCACACCACCCGTTAGTGCCAACTTGGCCACACCACGTGGAGGTTCGGAGAGGATTTCGTGACCCATATTGACAGTTCACCTGAATGATAAATATCACAAGGGCCGGGTTTAACAATAACTTCCCCAGAACGAGTAGAACGTCCCAGATAAGAGGAAGATCAGAGAGCAGAGTTGCGGAGCGAGTGAGGAACAGTATCAGACGAATCAGTACCGTCTTCTTCGAGGCCCCTAAAGATAAGAACAAGTTGCTGGGCACTCTCGACGAGTCTATTGAAGACAGTGAGTTAATTTTCATCATATCTTCATTACCTTATATGGGCAATGGTAGTGTTATCATGGTTTCATAACCACATGGGTTAATGGGTAGTCATTTTACCTAGCCATGAGTCTACGCGTACTGAGTGACGCGCTTGTTTCAAGCGAGAGGGCACTGGATAGAGCAAGGTTGTCATCAATATTTATCTAATATCTATTCGCGTTAAGTTGTTGAAACTCATGTTTTTGGCGACGAATTCGAGGACAAAGACAGGATAATTAAATATTTTGGAAGGATGATCAGCCAATTGTAAATGAATCACCTGTGAGATTCTATTTCACCAAATTTCACTTGTTTTTTGGTGTCCATCCTGAATAGTAGCCCAAATTAGATCTATAACCGTTTGTGAAATTTCGAAAAATAAATTTGGACACCTTCCAATTTGTCTAATCATAAATTTGACACGGCTGTTGCATGGAACCACTTACTCATGAGACAGAGAAATTATAAAAGAGACTTTTAAGGAAGTGTTGTTCCGATAAATATATGTCTTCTTGAAATTTTGGTTGAACATCACCTATACATTTGATATAAGGGGTATTATTTCTAGCGTCCATATTAAATTGGCAGTTGTGGGTACTGGGTAACTGCAGTATTTTTGGTAAAAGCACTCAAACATCACCAGCTCTGCACATATATATGACATGTTGTAATGTGACATTACTTTATATCCACCCCATTATTGCCCTATATTGACATGCTAAATTGATTTTGGTGCTTCCCACGTGTGTTGCTATACCGACAAGACTACAGCACGTGTGTTAGAAACCGGGGCGCTATTCGACCGCATCTCCTACTATGAGCAGTACCCGGTAACTTTCATCTTTAATAATAGCCACTGACCCCCCGCGTACCGTATCAGATACTGTTCCTCGTTTGTCAGCGAAGTTTTAGTTTTTTTAGAGCCGGCTTGCTCCTCTAAAGGATCACAGGTTTTAAGCATTTGTAAACAATGTGTGTCTTCTCATAAGTATGACTAAAAGGTCTGACAGAACAGTGATAATGTTGATTATAATAGCAACTTTAGTTGCATATTAACTATTATAACATAGCACCACTGTTGTACATGCAACATTTTCTGTTGTTGCAGCATCAAGATTCTTGATAAGATGAATTTTAAGCTATTTTGTCTTTACGTACCTCGTTAAAACTGGTCTCCACAGCCTTGCTAGTTTCTATTTTCCGTTGATTTGCCACCTAATTTCAATGAAATGGTGTTTTTCATACAGCGAAATTTGTTTCAACGGAAATATTGAGGATTTAACCAGAAATGACGGTTAAACAGCGCACGGAGGATGAATGCGTAGTGTGCGACATATACTGGGGTTTAATGATGACATCGCTAAACTACGTCAAGGAAACCAATTAACCAGTATTCAGTAACTGGTATTTTCCTTTAAGCCTTTAGTACCTACATTATGATTAAGCTTATTTGGTGTTTGTTCCGGTATTTAAAATTTAATCGTACCGCACAAAATTTTTTGTTGATTTGAAATTAATTTCTAATTCACAACGATTTGCTCGTCCATTCTATCACAATTGAAGAGTTGGCGGACCTTTTAGCTAAAAGGTTTTTTAAAGCTAAGGGACTAAAAGCTAGGCTCAGTTTTCAGCTTAACCGAATTTAGCTATAAAATCTCACATCGGAAAAGGTACAAGATCAAATGACGCCATTTTCGTTCAGAGGGCCCCTTTTAAATTTTAAAATTAAAATACAATAAAACCTCTCGGTATAGATAGGTTCGCACTTCGCATGATATGATCCGGTTCTCCAATATCTAGAGACTCCCAAATATTCAGATAGGCAATAGGTTGTCAAGCGTCTCATATACTCCATAGTCCATTAGGGGGCTCATGTGCGCGTATTGTGTTGCATTGTGATGGAATACAGCTCGATATGTACTTAAATCACCACCAAAGGCGATATGAGCTATGATAATGTACATTTCTTGCACAAACCACAAACCAAACCAATTAACTAAAAGTTTGGATGAAAGGAAAAGACCCGGTATATATCGAGGTACATATATATTCAAAGTTCTAATAATGAGAGTAACTGTCTCCTAACTAGTCCTAAAATGTTGTCTTGTATGTAGTGAGTAGTGGCTGTAGTGACTACTGTCTTCTTGATGAGAAGGGGTGGGAAGGGGTAGGAGAAGAAGAATGGGGCAATGAGTGGGCTCCAGCGGAGAGCGTTGCAGGCTCTCTGATACTCTGATGCTGATATCTGCAGTTTCTCTTGTGAGGATTGTTCCTTCGCATATTTATAAGAATAGCATTCTGAAAATGCTGCTTTCCAGGAACAGAGCGACAAGAAACCATGATACCAGGTAACGACATTGGTATATATACACCATTATATATACCAAATGTCGATGGTGCATAACATGATCTTTAATTTTACTTAAGTCCAAACTCCAACCGCTAACCATTTAAATGGCCTTTAAACTGACAACTCCCGGGATCTTTAAGCAAAATTCTATTCTTGCACATATCAGCAAATTCATATTCAGATTAATCTTGTATAGTTCTGGTAAACCGTATGATTATTATAAGTAGTGCGTTTTAATATCAGTCTTGTTCTCCCAGTTTGACGGGTGTGGTTTATTAATACAGAGATACAGGCAACTCAGAAGTGTGTAATCGCACTTTTAGCCGTTTTCAGCACATATGCGCACTTACTGTCGTTTTCCTTTTTAAAACGTCCTGCACCGCCACCATCTGACTCCAGCAGTAATTTACCAGCTCCTGAAAAGCAAAAAGTCTTTGCTTAACAAGATGTTTCGGGTGCATTTAGTTGTCTCACTTTGCGACCTCAACTATCTTTCAAATATATGCCCCTGACGACACGCTGTCAGACCAGTATTAAGAGCTCAGGAATTTAGTTCGTCGCTTTTATGAAAGTGGAGGAAAACTGCAAACCACAAAGCTCCGCGAGAAGGTGGGGAATCTGAACATCGCAAGGTTACATCACCAGCAAGTTGTTAGTTACAACCCCACTATTAGCGTTAGAGTTGTTGAGGACTGGATCTTTATCAGTTATAAGTTACGCGTACCTCAGCTGACCAGCTGTATGCATTTCATTTATATTTGGAATTTTAGTCTATTAGGGTATATTATAGATCAAACAAAATTTTGGTGGCAAATTTTTTATGTGTCTTTGAAGTCTGTGGCCACGCCCTTTAATCTATAGTAGCATAGTTTTGTTGATAATGCACTTTGATGTACACGGGTTTTGAAAACACAGGATAATTCGTGTAGTTATTTGCATCGAAGTCATCTAGACCTACGCAATTTGTCTCGCTAGTCTTATTCATACAGGGTCAAATATATATGCAACAAAATTTACATGATTTGGAGAATTATTATACGAAGGACCCTGTGTTGTCAAAAATGGTGCACATTAAAGTGCATATTCAACTGCACCATGCTACTCTAGTACTTTTGACGAGCGTGAGAAAATCTTACATTTAAGAAAACGATTGGTCTCTACCCATTAACATAATAATGGGGTATTAAAACCTGTTTTTGAACCCAATGAATCAATTGGTGGTCTACTTGACTCTCAAACCATACCCAGATACCACATCCCTCTATTTCTGGGTTCTAGAACATTATGCTGTTCTTATGTGGAGATTTACATGAGACCGTGCCATCTTCAAAGGTACTCATTCTTTCAGCATCCTACCGTGTCCTTTATTTCGCCTTCTATGTCACTATTTTTAGTATGTATAAGTTCATATCCCCTGTGTCTTCTAGAACCAGTTCACCCGGCCCTGGGCCTCGGAAGTCGGACAGCTCTTGACCATTCCCAGACCCCAGTTAACTGTCAAAACCAGCTGAGGTTGACAATCAGAACTTTCTGCTATTCCATTGTTTTTTCTAAGCGTGTATATTGAGTATACTCCTACTACCCTTTAACTTCATGGACTTCGTAACACTTCATTGTATACTTACTTTACATAATATATCTCAAGGAATATTTAGTTCTTCTTTTGATTGGTCGGCGTCGACTGTAAGCCTTCCTTGCGGTGGCTTTCACAACGCGTCCCCATTCTCCAACTCCTGCTGCTAGAGAGAGAGACTCCCAAGTTATATACCATAATTATATTATACATAGATATCGACAACAGACTCCGAGAGTCTTGAAGTTCTGTTACCACCGCCCCTGGTGCAACCCCTTACGGGTTAACGATGAGGAGACAGGGACTTCCAGGGACGGTCATGGCCTGCTACATGCAACTCGTAGGAGTATGCAATGTTCCTGTAACGTCACTGTAGACCACTCCTCTATCGTTGTTTTGAGTGTCCGATCCAAAAACCAAATCCTAGGGTACACGAGACGTGGAAGCCTGTGAGCGTGTTAGAGTCTGTTAAGTGTTAGAGTCCTAGGGCTACACGAGACTGTGAGCGTGTTAAATCCTAGGGTTACACAAGACATAGTAGCCTGTGAGCGTGTACGCCGCTCCTCTATCGTTGTTCTGAGTGTCCGATCCAAAACCAAATCCTAAGTACACGAGGCGTGGTAGCCTTTGGACGTGTAAAATCCTGGGGTTACACGAGACATGGTAGCCTGTGAGCGTGTAGTCCGCTCCTCTATCGTTGTTTTGAGTGTCCGATCCAAAACCAAATCCTAGGGTACACGAGACGTGGAAGCCTGTGAGCGTGTTAGAGTCTGTTAAGTGTTAGAGTCCTAGGGTTACACGAGACGTGGTAGCCTGTGAGCGTGTTAAATCCTAAGGTTACACGAGACTTGGTAGCCTGTGAGCGTGTTAAATCCTGGGGTTACACGAGACGTGGTAGTCTGTGAGCGTGTAGACCGCTCCTCTATCGTTGTTATGAGTGTCCGATCCAAAACAAAATCCTAGGGTACACGAGGCGTGGTAGCCTGTGAACGTGTAAAATCCTGGGGTTACACGAGACATGGTAGCCTGTGAGCGTGTAGACCGCTCCTCTATCGTTG